AGTGGGTTTGTTGGAAACTTTCCTAGAAAGTATTACAGAGACTCTGGGGTGGAGCCAGTGAGGTGTTTACAGGACAGCTGAGACTAGTCATTGTCAGAGAGAATGAGGTAAAGGGCCATGATCTTCATGGTTGTCTTATCTCACTTGACTCCATTTAACTAGGACTTCTGGAGAGTGCCTAGCTACGGAAAGCATGAAAATGGCAGACCCTCTAGCAGAATGTTGGATCTGATTAGAGCCATTGTCTAAATATAAGGTAAAGAGGAGATACCTGCTTTTCTCTGTACAACTTTGCAGAAAGTGCTAATGGTGTGGGAGTCTCTGGCATAGAGAAAAAAATGATGAGCCTCCAGCTAGAAAGCCTCAGGTTGAGTCCCAGCTTTGCCACTCATTAGCTACTCGAGCTGAGTCTTTGCTTCTGTCTCTGCAAGGTAGGGATTGTATCACTCTAATTTTTTTTTAACTGAGGTATAGTTGTCATACAATGTTATATTAGTTTCAGGCATAGAACATAGTGATTTTGACAATTCTTTGTATTAGGGCTCACTACAGTAAGTGCCATCACCATCTGTCATCATACAATGTTGTTACAACATTATGGACAAAATTCCTATGCTGTCTGCTGCAGACGCTGTCCGGGTTCTCATCTTGCCAGGCACTGGGGGCAGAGCTCATGGCAATTCCAAAGCCTGAGATGTCAGGAGTCAGGTGGGGACCGCTGGGGTCTCCCTTTCCTCTCACCCTAATGTCAGGGCCCAGTCTTGCAATGACTCAGGATGAGCTTTATTGCTGGTTGCCGTGGAAAGAGGTGGTTTTGGTTTAGAAGGCAGATTCTGCCTCTTCCCAACTTAGGTGTGTTGCATCCTCTCCCTGAGCTTCAGGTGTCTTGTCTGGGAGATGGAGGTAATAATAGGTACCTCACAGAGTGTAGGACGAGGATGAGACAATGCCTGGGGGGCACCCCATTCCGAGCAGGTGCTATTGTGGCCCCATGCAGCAGGACAGTTGAAAACACAGAGGGCACAAGTCAGAGACAGTGTGACACAGAGCCCTTTGAATGACCTAACTATTTTAGGAATATTTAAATCACTTTTCCCATAAGTACTCTATTTATTTGCTAGGGCTGCCATAACAAAATACCACACACCAGTTGACTTAAACAACAGAAATATATTGTTTCACAATTCTGGAGCCTAGAAGTACAAGACTGGGGTGCTGTCAGGTTCGCTTTCTCCTGTGGCCTCTGTGTCTTGCAGATGGCCCCTTTCTGTGTCCTCAAATGGCCTTTTCTCTGTGCACATATATCCCTGGTGTCTCTTTGTGTGTCCAAAATTCCTCCTCTTGTATGTTTATGAGACAGGTTGGATGAGGACCTACCTAATGGCCTCATTCTAATTTAATCATCTCTTTAAAGGCTCTGTCTCCAAATACGGTCATATCTTGAGGTACTGGGTACTGGGCTTTGACATATAAACTTTGGGGGAGATATATTCAGCCCATAATAAGCACCTAGGAGCATCTACTCTGTTCTAGGCATGGGAAATACAGAAGGGAAAGACTTAGGTCTTGCCCCTGGGACACTCAGTCTTTTGGGAGAGAGAGACAAATAGACAATTATAAAAATGCCTTTTCTCCATTTACCTTGCCCTGTGTCTTACATGTAATTTTCAGTCTTTGCAAATGAATCATCAAATATACATTCAGCATTTTGCCCACTGCAGAATCTCAGTTCAATCAGCTATGAACTTTCCAGGTCTTAACCAGCTCAGGAAGAGAATTTACCGGAGCCCACTGAGAAACAGGAGAAGGTTAACCAAGAGCCCAGATAAGCTGGGCCAGACTGAGGGGAAATGAACAAATAGTTGAGATTGAAATTTGTCTTCACATGCCTCTTTTCCACCCCTGTCTGCCAAATTTTAGTGACCTTCGAACACAGCCAGCCAGAGGCTGCCCACACTGCATTTCCAGTGTCCCAAATTAAGACTGTTCCATCCCCTCCCCACACGCAACCACCCCTACCTTATGTCTTTGTTCTCTGATTTCCAAGATGATAGAGGCATGAGGCTAAAAACTGAGCACTTTTGTGGGGCACCTGGGTGGCTCAGTTGGTTAAGTGTCTGCCTTCAGCTCAGGTCATGATCCCGGGGTCCTGGGATGGAGTCCCACATTGGGGGAGCTCCCTTTCAGCAGGATGTGTACTTCTCCCTCTCCCTCCGCCCCACCCCGCTCATGTTCTGTCTCAAATAATTAAAATATTTTAAAAATTTGAGTACTTTCAGTGTGTCGGGCAATAATCAGACACTTTACAAATGTCATCTAATTTGATCTTCAAAACAGCTGTTTCACCTCATTTGATAGATGAGAGAGCTGAACTACAACACACTCAAGATAACAGTAAATAGCATCCTTTAAATGCATATCTTTCTAACTTCACTAAGACCTTCAGACTCTCAGCTATTAGTGATGTGAACAGCTGTTGATCTCTGTGATGATAATGCCGTGATTGACTACATTGGTGGTTAGTCTTAGACTGGGTTCCTAGAAGCAGTTCCTGAGAGGAATGTGGGTGCCTGTGACTTACTGAGGGTAAGCTCTCAGGAGGAAGGAGAAAGGGAAGCAGGGAGTAGAGGCAGGGGGAGGGGCTGAGCAAGGATATGCTCTCTGTTAGTCTAGCTTCGGCCTGATCCCATAGTGAGCTCTGAAGCATAAATCACCCGCAGAACTCGTTCTACCTTGAGGCAAGAGATCCACCTTTTGCCCTGGGTCATTCTACCATTGGCTGTAAGTTGTAGTGTGTGGGGTGGGTGTGTAACCAGGTAGCCCCACCAGGAATCATGAGCCCATACTGCCAACCCTGAGATAGGTAGAGGGGACCTGGTCTGGGCACCAGCACATTCCACTTCTTACCTACTCTAGGGTCGGAGGATGGACATTCTAAAAGAAGGCCCCAAGGAAAACAATGATGTGATCCAAATGAATGTGTCTTTACCACTTCAGGTCCTACAGCAAGTTATTTTAGGAGATACTTTTGCATCAGAAGGTGAGAGACAGGGGCTTTTAGAACCCCTGAGTTAAACCTATGAACAGCTGCCTGATAGTATGGTCTTAAATCGGAATAGCACTTGTAGTTTAACGATTGATGTTTATGTATGTTATTCATTTAATCATCACAAACCTATGATGGCAGGTTTCATTAGCCCATTTTACAGGGACATTTTGTGGTTCAATTACAGAACTTTTGTTTTTAAGATTTTATTTATTTATTTTTTTGAGAGAGAGAGAGAGAGAGTGCAGGTGCACAAGCATGGGGGAGGGGCTGGGAGAGAGGGAGAAGCAGACTCCCCGCTGAGCAGGGAAGCCCACCTCAGGATCATGACTTGAGCCCCTGGGCTGAAGGCAGATGCTTATCCTACTGAGCCACCCAGGTGCCCCTCAATTACACAATTTTGATGTGATAAGGCTGGGCCTACGACTTGCCTCTGACTTGAGATCTAATGTCCCTCCTTCATTTCATCCATTGTATGGTTGAATGGATTCTGCAAAAAACCTCATGCCCCACCTAGGGGACCAGCCATCCCCATTTGCTCAGGACTTTTTCAGTTTTAAAACTGAAAATCCCACATTCAGGGAAACCCAGGGCCAACTTAACTGTTAAACAGAAAAAGTAGTGCCTAGGGCCTATGATACCTTTAGAGGCCTACAAAAAGGTTCTAATTTTAATTCCTTTTAACAATGGAAGAAAACATATGAATATTATAATAATAATGAAAGTATGCTAATTAAACCAGCCTGGACAACTTTTCATCTTTATATTAACAACCGTAAAATATAATTTTTAACTGTGTGGGCATGTGCGTGTGTGTGTGTGTGTGTGTGTGTGTGTCTGTGTGTGTCTGTGTCTGTGTGTCTGTGTGTCTGTGTGTCTGTGTGAGTGTGAAGGAAGAAGCCTATGAAAGCAAAAGTGCCTAGGACTCACAAAGTCATAATGCAGCCCTGAGTTCACTTGGGCTTCCCCAGAGGCACTCTGCATATTGTGCTGTGAATTCCATATCTCTATCTCCCTACTGACCTGACTAGACATTTCTCTTACTCATCTTTTTGTCTCCAGCTCCTGGCTTAGTGCCCAGCACACTATACACACCCAATGCCTATTTATTGATTGAATAAATGAGTTAATTGATGGCCTCATTCAGCCGATTGCTTGATAACATTGGGGACATTCACTGCTCTTGGCCTCAATTTCTACATCTGTAAAATAAATACATTGGAATAGAAGAACTCTCAGGTTCTTAGGGGGCACTTGATGTCATATATTTGTGATACCAGGTCATGGGACTCTCTTAATGTCATTGAAAAATGTCAATTATCAGATGGTTTCACTTATTTGTGGAACATAAGGAACAGCATGGAGGACATTAGGAGAAGGAAGGGAAAAATGAAGGGGGGGAGATCGGAGGGGGAGACGAACCATGAGAGACTATGGACTCTGAGAA